CGGTCCCGCTAGTCAGCCGCTGCCGCCCGCGCGCCCCTTTCTCCCCGGCGCTCCCGGCGGCCGGCGCGGGGCCCGAGCGACTCCGGGCGGAGCCGAGAGCCAGGGATTCCGACGCCGTCCAGCAGCCTGCTCGGTGACGTTGCCCCGAGCGTTCGGACACGTCAGGCCGAGACAGGAGGGCTCCTGACTCGCCGCCCAGTTTCGGCAGTCGCCGGTGACTGTTCCGTAGGAAAGGGGGTGTGTTGGTAAGCAGGACTGCCCCCGGTGCATGTGCGGCTGTAGTGTGGCGCCCCTACCCCAGCCTGCTAGCTTTCTAAGGAGGTGTCCAGACGTATAAAAACGAAGTCTTCCCTGGCTTGAGAAATGTAGCAGAAAAGAAAACCCTAAATTCAAATTGCAGTTATTTCCCAGCTTCAGCCTCTTTTTGCTGATAAATGAAAAAAAGTTTTCTGTTGGCTTTATTTGTTTTTGCTTTTTGAGCCGGGGTCTCTCTATGTAGTGCCCACTGGCCTTGAACTCACTTACCTAGCCCAGGCTGCCCTCGAACTCATGGTAGTCCTCCTGCCTCAGCCTCCCAATGCTGGGATTACAGGTGTGCACCACCACACACAACTGTTGGCCTACTTCTTTTTTTTTTTTTAATTTGAAAGAGTAAAAGAAGGATAATATAGTAATAGGAGGGCCTACCGAATTACAGAGTGGTAGGAAATTATCAATGGTTGTTGTTTTACATATTGTTATCTACAAGAAAACAGACAATAGTGAGTTACAGACAAAAGTGGTAGGTTATTATCAATGGTTGTTGTACTATACTCTGGTATCTACAAAGTGGTTTCTAAAGAAAATAAATAGAGCTATACATGAGTGACCAATTGAGTATTCAGTGACTGTTCTCAATGGTTGTTGTAGGAAACACATAGTAATAAACATACATCCATTTACAAAATAGCATAGGAACAACACAAACATTTCAGAGCTATGGACAGATTAGTAAGAAAATATCAATGGCTGCTGTAATACATGGTGGTATCTTCAAAGTGGTTTCTCAGGAAGACAGAGATAGGCAAGAAAGATCTAACAAGTAGTTACAGCCTAAGGGTTGTGAAAAATAGCGTATTACCTCCTCACCAGTGTGTTGGCCTACTTTAACCTCAGCCATTAACACACAATTTTCAAAAAATTTATTTTCCAGTGAACAAAATTTCACTGGAAGAGGCATGTTTAGAGATTATTGAAAATGCAGATTTAAGAAGCAAGAGTTAGTTTTATTACAAGAAAAAGGAACAAAGGATATCTGAGTTGTGGGAGCCCCATTTTATTTGTATAATGAATTACATTAAAATGTTCTAGAAACATTTTAGTGTACTTTCTTAGATTAATGAATGGTCTTACTGTCCAAAATACATGTGTGGGGTACAAAGTGATCCAGTTAAATGTGTGAAGCAAATCAAGTGGGGCACAAAGTGATGCAGTCAAATGTATGAAGCGAATATTAGGACTTCTATTTACCCTTCAAAATGATTCATTTCTAAAAATTGCTCCTTTCAGTGGATTTTATGATGGACTAGTATATTAAGGTAACGTATAAAAATAAATATTGAGATTAAGTACTAAAACGTATTTTATGATTTATGAAGCCCAGATACCAGCAGTCTGGAAAGTGCTGTGTGTATGTATGTATGTGTATATATATATATACATCATAAATATTTTAAAGGGTTTATTTCCATGAATATTTTATTTTATTACAATATTTACTTATCGAGCATAGGTCAGTAGTTTGAGCCCTCATTTCCTCTGTAAGGAACTCTGGTCTGTCCTATCCCAGCCTAAGCTGTTAGTGAGATTAATTTTTTTTTTTTTAAGAAGAAAATAAAAATTTCAAAACAGGATAATAGGAAGGTAACAATGGTTAATACACTGTGTATTGTTATCTGTAAATTTGTTACTCAGATTACAAGATACAGGGCAATCAATATTAGTACAAACCTTTCTTTTAAATGAAGTAATAGAAATTAGTACTATAACTATCTTAACTATCTTATATTTTATATATATAGTTTTTTGCTTTTCACTTTTTTTCGCCTTTCCACCATCCCAGTTTCTCTTTCCTTTTGAAGTTTCTTCCCATTGTACAATATCTGTTGTACATTTTGGAACTTCATTTACTCGCAGCTTCTCACACTTGGGAGATAATGTTTGCGCATGTGGTTCTAGGTTATTTCACTTAAGAATATAGTCTTTAGTTACATTCATTTGCCTATGAAAGTCTCCAGTGTATCCTTCTTGATGGCCAAGGAGTACTCCATTGTATAAAAAGACCACTTTTTTTTTTTTTTTTTTTTTGGGTCTTTTTGAGACAGGGTCTCACTGTGCAGTTCAGGCTGGCTTTGAGCTCACTTTGTAGCCGAGGCTGGTCTTGAACTTGCAACGAACCCCCTGCCTCAGCCTCCTAAGTGCTGGGATTACAGGCATGTGCCACCACACCTGGCTCCACATGTTTTTTATCCATTCCTTGGTGGTTGAGTATTTGGGTTGTTTCCAAGATGTAGGTATTGCAAATTGTGTTGCTGTTAAACATGGGTGCACATATATCACTGTGGTATGTTGTTTTTAATTCTTCTGGGAAGATACCCAGAAGGGGAATAGCTGGTGAAATGGGATCCAATTCTAGTCTTTTGAGGAATGTCCACACTGATTTCCACAGTGGTTGCACCAGTTTACATTCCAGTCAGCAGTGGAGAAGGGTTCCTTTTTCCCCACAGCCCCTCCAGCATTTGTTATTAGTTGATTTCTTGATAATAGCCATTCTTTCTAGGGTGAGGTGAAACCTCACTGTTGTTTTAATTTGCATTTCTCAAATAATCATTGATGTTGAACATTTTAAAAACATATTTATTTGGCGTTTGTAATTCTTCACCTGAGAAGTGTGTATTCATCTCAGATACCCATTTTTGGATTGGGTCTTTAAATTTGGGATGTCTGATTTTTCTGAGTTCTTTATACATTCTTGATAGTCAACCTTTGTCTGAGGAACATCTGACAAACATTTTTTCCCACATTGTGGGTTTTGTCTTCACTCTGTTGGTGGTTTTTCTTGCTGTGCGAAAGCTTTTTATTTTTTTATTTTTATTTTTTTGTCTTTTTGAGACAGGGTCTCAGTTCAGGGTGGTCTTGAGCTTACTTTGTAGCCCAGGCTGGCCTCGAACTCATAATGATCCTCCTGCCTCTGCCTCCCAAGTGCTGGGATTATAGGCATGCGCCACCACACCTGGCTGCAAAAGCTTTTTAATAAGATGACATCCCAGTTATTGATTCTTTGTGATAATTACTGTGTGATCAGGGTTTTATTCATAAAGTCTTTGCCTACACCAATGTCTTCAAGAGTTTTACCTATTCTATCTTCCAGAAAGTGTAATGTTTTTGTTAATATTTAGACCTTTGAACCATTTTGAATTTAGTTTAGTGCATGGTGAAAGATATGGGTCCAATTTTAATTTTTGACATGTGCAGAGCTAGTTTTTCCAGCACCATTTATTAAAGAGGCTGTCTTTCTTCCAGTGTCTGTGTTTGGCCCCTTTGTCAAATATAAGGTGGCTGAGTATGTCTGGAGTTGTTTCTGCATCTTTTGGTCTGTTCCACTGATCTTTGAGTCTGTTTTTTTTACCAGTACCACACTTTTTTTTTCTTTTCTTTTTAATCACAGTAGCTTTATAGTATAATTTCCAGTCAGGGATTGTGATGCCCCCTTCCTTGCCTTTGTTGCCCAGAATTGCCCTTGCTATTTTAGGTCTCTTCTGTTTCCAAATGAATTTTAGGATTGTTTTCTCTAACTCTGTGAGATATGTTGTTGGAATTTTTTTTTTTTTTTTTTGGTTTTTTTCTCTGGTACCGGGAACTGAACTCACGACCTTGCGCCTGCCAGGCATGTTGTTGGAATTTTGATTGGAATTGCATTAAATCTGCATAACAGTTTTGGAAGTATGGCCATTTTCACTGTATTGGTTCTTCCTATTCAAGAGCAAAGAATATCTTTCCATTTTCTGATAACCTCTTCAGTCTCTTTTTTTAGAGTACTGTATTTTCAGTGTAGAGGTCTTCTACTTTCTTCCTTAGGTTGATTACTAGATATTTCATTTTTTGGATGCTATTGTGAAAGATACTGCTCCCCTGAATTCTCTCTCAGTGAGTTTGTTATTTGTGTATAAGAAGGCTATTGATTTTTGAGTGTTGACTCGGTGTCCAGCTATGCTACTGAATTTGCTTATTAAATTTAGCAGTTTTTCAGTGACGTTTTTGGGGTCTTCTGTGTAGAGTATCGTGTTATCTGCAAATAATGATAATTTAACTTTTTCCTTTCCTATCCTTATTCCTTTTCTTTCTTTTTATTGCCTGATTGCTCTGGCTAAAGTATCCAGGACTATGTTGAATAAGAACTGAGACAGCAGACATCCTTGTCTTGTTCCCAATTTTACAGTGAAAGCTTTTAGTTTTTGTGCGTTTAGTATGAGGTTTGCTGTTGGTTTATAATAGATGGGTTTTATCAGATTGAGATAAAGACCATCTATTCCAATTTTCTGTAGGGTTTTTATCATGAATGGGAGCTGGGCTTTGTCAAAAGCTTTTCCTGCATCTGTTAAGATGATCATATGATTTTTGTCCTTGGTTCTGTTAATATGGTGTATTACATTTATTGATTTATATATGTTCAACCATCCCTTCATCCCTGGGATGAATCCCACATAGTCATGGTATATAATCTTCTTG